AAGTCTAAGAAGAAAAAGAAAAAGAAGAAGCATAAGAAACACAGCAAAAAGAAAAAGAGGAAGACTTCTGGCTTTGATTTGGACTAAAGGGCTAGTGAGTGTGGTGTCCTGCACAACAGGCAGCTGGAATTCGGAGTGGGAATGGAGACTGAGCTCTTGCCGGACTGTGGGGGAAAAAAAACCTTTAGATATTTGTCAAAGTGACTCGTAAAAGTGGGTGCTTCTTAGCACCGTGCGGCTTTGTGGCCGACTTGGATGAGAGGATCATGTGGTTGGGGAGTTGAAAGGGGGGTGGGGCTCGTTATGTCAGGTTTGTGTTTGTTTTTTAAGCAGATGATTCTCAGTCCAAATAAAGGTAATTTACACCACTGGCGGCCCTGTGTACAGTATCTTTGTGCTGATGTGGATCTGCATGAGAAATGCTGGTTTCGGGGTTGTAAATGCGGCCGATTTGCATTAAATATTTATAGAAAATTCATGCTTCTGTGTTTCCCTATAATGCTGACAATGGATTTCTTTCTCAGATATTAGAACGAACCTGTGTTTCCTGCACTGATCTTCAGCGGCATGGCAAAACAACTATATTTTACCCAAGTTTTGAATGTGAGTTCACAATTTGTTAATTGTACAGTGGGGAAAATGTTTATTTGATCCCCTGCTAATTTTGTAAGTTTGCCCACTTACAAAGAAGTGAAGGGTCTGTCATTTTTATGGTAGGTTTATTTTAATGGATAGTGACAAAATGCCAACCAAAAAATCCATTAAAAACACATTATATATAAAGGTTAGAAATTTATTTGCTTTTCAGTGAGTGAAATAAGTATTTGATCCAAGCAAAACATGACTTAGTACTTGGTGCAGAAACCCTTGTTGGCAAGCACAGAGGTAAGACGTTTTTTTGTTGTTGACGTTTCTTGGCAACTCGAAGTTTCAGCCCCCTCCACAGATTTTCTATAGGATTGAGGTCTGGAGACTGGCTAGGCCACTCCATGACCTCAATGTGCTTCTTCTTGAGCCATTCCTTTGTTGCCTTGGCGGTATGTTTCGGGTCATTGTCATGCTGGAAGACCCATCCATGACCCATCTTCAGTGTTCTGGCTGAGGGAAGGAGGTTCTCGTCCAAGATTTTACAGTACATGGCCCCATCCATTTGCCCCTCAATGCGGTGAAGTCGTCCTGTACCCTAGAAAAACAGCCCCAAAGCATAATGTTTCCACTTCCCTGTTTGACTGTAGGGGTGGTGTTCTTGGTGTCATAGTCAGCATTTCTCTCCCTCCAAACACGGCGAGTCGAGTTCATGCCAAAGAGCTACATTTTGGTCTCATCTGACCACAGCACTTTCTCCCAAGCCTTCTCTGAATCATTTAGGTGTTCTTTGGCAAACTTTAAACGGGCCTGTACTTGTGCCTTCTTGAGCAGGGGGACCTTGCGGGCAGGATTTCAGTCCATTGCGGCGTAGTGTGTTACCAATGGTTTGCTTAGTGACTGTGGTCCCAACTGCCTTAAAATCATCAACAAGCTCCTCCCGTGTAGTTCTGGGCTGATCCCACACCTTTCTCATGATCATCCTTACACCATGAGGCAAGATCTTGCATGGAGCTCCAGACCAAGGCCGGTTGATGGTTGTTTTGTATTTCTTCCATTTCCGAATAATCGCACCAACAGTTGTGTCCTTCTCACCAAGCTTCTCGCTGATGGTCTTGTAGCCCATTCCAGCCTTGTACAGATCTACAATCTTGTCTCTGACATCCTTTGACAGCTCTTTGGTCTTGCCCATGGTGGTGGGAGAGGTTGGAATGGAAGATACAGATTGTGTGGACAGGTGTCTTATACACCTAACGAGCTGACATTAGGAGTAACTTCAGGACTAATCTGTGTTCCTCATTGGCACATAGCCAGTCTGTGGGAGCCATAATTCTTGCTGGTTGGTAGGGGATCAAATACTTATTTCACTCACTGAAATGCAAATCAATTTCTAACCTTTATATAATGTGTTATTTCTGGATTTTTTGTTTGATAATCTGTCTCTATCCATTAAAATAAACCTACCATAAAAATTACAGTCCCTTCATTTCTTTGTAAGTGGGCAAACTTACAAAATCAGCAGGGGATCAAATAAATATTTTCTCCATTGTAATGCAATAAAACACCACAAAAAAGAAGGTAAAACTGCATACAATTCTAATATGCAAAGTTCAAAACTGATGCTGTTCAAAAGTTTGGGGTTGGTAAGATCTTTAAATGTTTTTAAATAAGTCTCTAATGCTCACTAAGGTTGCATTTATTTGATAAAAAATACAGTAAAACAGTTCTATTGTAAAATATTATGACCATTTAAAATATTTTAAAACAGTTTATTCCTGTGAAGGCAAATCTTGAATTTTTTATTGCTCATGTAACGAAACATTTCTTATTAATGCTGAAAAAAGTTGTGCTGCTTATAATAGTTTTTGTAAAAACTGATAATTTTTTTTTTCAGATTCTTTGATGAATAGAAAGTTGTAAAGAACACCATCGTCTTTATTGACACTTCTGATCAATTGAATGTGTCCTTGCTGAATTAACCTATTAATATCTCCAAACTTTTGAACAGTGCTTATATATATATTAATCCTATGATACATTATTCTTAATCTGCGGTTTATGAACCCCATTATTAAAGGGGTCATATGATGTTGCTACAAAGAACATTATTTTGTGTATTTGGTGTAATGAAATGCGTTTATGTGGTTTAAGGTTCAAAAAACACATTATTT